CTAGTGTAAAACTAGAATTAAGACTAGACCGAGAACTAGAAACATTCGGATTTAGCCGCACATCTCTCAAGACGACTAAACCCGAATGATTCTAGTTCTAGGTTAGTTCTAGTGATAGTGCTAGTGTAAAACTAGAACTAACACTAGACCTAGTACTAGAAAGTCGGGTTTGGTCGTGCGTCTGAAGTCCTCAAATGCTAATTACTGCACGTGAGGTTTCCTTAACTCTAGTCTTATCCCTCCAACGATATATGTATATTCCCTGTTCGTGTTAATAAACGTCTTCCGGGGATTCCGAAAACGACTAACTTACAACTTGTTGTAGAACAACATTTATTGTATATTTGTATAAAGTCGAGTTACAAAATATAATAAAAGTACTTAAGATAATTCAGGAACTTTAAAAATTGCCCTTTTAGATATTTGTGATGGCTTATTAATTTTCTTTTTAATGTCTTCATAATAATACCAAATGGAATCTGATTTTAGAGGCCACTTCCAATTTCCACCATACTTCTCCATTGCCGAAACTAAAGCTGTATTATTTGCAACTTCTTTTACTTGACCTGGATACAGTTGATTTTCATACATAACTAGTACATAGTCACCAGTCATCAGCTTCATCTTTCTCCACATTTGTGTTAAGTGTTTGAATGGGTTCCATATCTGCATCAGATTCTTCGTTTAGATGAGGTGAATAGGGGTTTTGATCACTTTCTGCATAAGAAACATTTCCTGTACTTTCATCATCAGTATCTGATTCGTCATTAGTTCTCATAACTCTTCGAGGAGAATTAGCTTGCTTATATATCTGCCCTGATGAAGTTGATGGTTGCTCCAAGTCCACTGGTGTGTCATTATTATTTTGCGGATTGATATCGGTGGCTGTGATACTCTTTAAATCAGGTTTTCAATAAAGCTGTCACTAAGTAATGCTTTTACTACAGGTAAGGCCTCAATACTATACATGGGCAGTCTTTGTAACACTTTATGCCGACTTACAGGAGCAATACCGCATTTACGAAAGCCAGCCTTAAGGTTTTTAGCAGAATTTTCTTTTAAAACCTCTAACAGTTTTTTTAAAAGTCCCGGAAATTCGTCTTTAGGCATACACCGACTATTCTGAATCTTTTCTTTCCATTCATCAAAAACCTTTCGCCATGCAATCTTTACAGGTCTGAAGAATGCTACATCTAAAGGTTGCAAAAGGTGAGTAGCATTGGGGTGCAAAGCAATGAAGGTAACATCATTTTCATGGCAAAGATCAATAACTTTAGTATTTATATGCGAAGTTAAGTTGTCGCCGAAAAGAATTTTTTTACCTGGTTGTTTTTTTAAAATAGGCAACATTAGACTCATAAACCAGTCTTCAAAACATTGAAAATCAAACCACCCTGATTTGGTGCGGTTGTAGCGAGTTTTCTTTGGGTCATTTTCAGTCCAACTTTCCCACATCTTTTCAGTCTTATAAACAACATAAACAGGTGCCAATTCACCTGCACTTTCGCACATCATTATGGACGTATTCGACTTGGAACAATTCTTTATGTTTTTGGGGTATCTACTGGACATGTCTCATCGTAATTCCGGATGTTCGATGCAGGAACTCCTTCAATTTCTTTTTCTAAGTGATCAAAGAACTCATTTACCACATCCTCATTAACAGAAACTCGACTGTAACTAATATTTCTGGCAGCATGATTAGAAATTTCTTGTTCGTGCCTTTTTACAAAAGAATTTGCCCATTCAGTACCGGGCAAATTATTTTTAAATTTCGCGACTGTCCTGCTTTGTTTTTCTAAAAAAACAATGATTTACATTTACAAATTTTAACAATGAATCGCAATTCTCGTTTATTTACAGGAAACCCATAACTGGATAGAGTGAAGACGTCTATCCTCCACTCTTTTTAGTAGCTTTGTTCTTTAATGTATTACTAAATACGTTTCGGTGAATGCCATATTTTTTAGCTGCCCCACGAACAGAAATACGTTTTGCCCTAATTTCATTTAAAATTCGTGCCAATGGTAATGCCTAGTTCCTAGTTCTCTAACATATTGACGCGGCATTCTAAAATTAAGACGAAAAATAACAGTTTATCTCGAATCTACTAACTCTGGACTTCAAAATGTGGGGCGAGAATGAGCCACTCGATGGCACATTTTTACCTTACATATTGGTACTATTCCCTACAATTGTTTATAACCAATATAAACAAAATAAGCAGCAAATTATCATAAGGTCATATTCAAGCTAAATAAATAGTTAATCGAAATTATTTACCTGATTGACATTCAAGTGTGCACAATAGTGCCACAAAATGTCCGAAGTAACATTACTTTCGTAGTAAATGCCAATACATCTGAAAATATCATGTCCGAGGTGCCAAATTCAAAGATATGTAAAAAAACCGTGAGGCACATTGTCACCACAGGAGGCACAAATTCACCCCATTTTACGGTACTTCATGTTCATCAAATGGCATAAAAGCTTGCATTATCTGCACTCTAGAGTCTATATTATTTTGATAAAATATGGGTAATTCGGGATCAGTCTGAATATAAAGTGAAGAATCACCGTGAACAAAATAATTATTTAAATCGTTTGAAAGAAAAATGATAGGTACTATCATGTGATAAGTTTAATCTTTCTTCAGCGAGCTTTTGGATCTTTACTACGTAAGGCGTAATCATAATTTATTATCCCTTCTTTTCAGCCCGAACCGTTGATGTTACCAGATTGCGATGCAACTTGTATGAAACCCAGTCTTGAGTTAGCTTAGACTTTTTAAATTTTTTAATCGCATCATCTCGAATAGACATTAGTTTAGCATTATCTATTGGAATCGTTTTACTATTTCCAGTCGGATAAAAGTATCCCGAAACTTATTGCATAAAATATTTTTCTAAGTGAATTGGAATTTATTAATCGAGTTAAAACCGTCTTATTTATTTACAGAGTAAAGAGGAAAATTAACTTTATGAACGCAATCTGAGCCGAGTACACCGAGAACCCCTAAACCAGTTAGAGGCGTTAGTACTGGGAAGTCCTCCCTGTCCGTTTTATGTACGGTACACGTAAAATTACACCGTCAGAGGTTTTATTTAATTAAATTCGCTTCATCTGACCCAACTAACCACCTGTTTCGTACAGTGCCCCCCCATATTTAGAAAAATCCTTCTCTCGCTTTAACCGACCCGGTTTATAGGTGGCTACAGAACGAAAACGTGCGCACGCTGTTGAGGTTAACGCGAAAATTACCGTATGTTAAGGATAATGGCGTTTTGCAACGTTGAGTTTTATTTATTACGTTAAGCGAAACGGTCTAAAAATAACCTAACGTACGTTGAAGCTTCAAGAAATACCACACGACCAAAACCGATCGAGAATCTCACAGGAAATCTGTAAAATTTGCAACGACTTTAGCGCTTTTCCGTTTATAGTAACCCCAGGACATCTACGTACCAGGACGTTCGATCCAATCGCGATTAATTAACCCTCTAACTATCTATTTGTTGCAATAAAGCTGTATTTGAGACGTAAGTATTGACTCGCACAGTTAAAAGCCTCCGGTAATGAAGCTCGACGGGAATAAACTCTTAATATCAACAAAAAAAAAGAAAAATTCGCCTTAGTTACGAGATCTGGTTCGTAACAAAGCGAATTCTATTCTTTCCACCCACAATAAGATCGCGTTTGGCTTTTTGGAGAACTAAGGGGCGCCAGCCAGGCTTGAAAATGGCTAATAAGCTTAATTACAATTGAAAGGGTTTGCTTTAACGAAGTTCTTCGTTGTAGCGGAGACCTTTCACCCTTAAAAGATAAATTTGCGCATTTATTAATACAAATTGAGGTCATTAAGCTGTCTCAATATACAGTTTTGAACTAAATTATGAAAGTTTTTTTTGTGTTTTGGAATTACCCTTGTTTTTCTACCTACCTTACAAGCCGATATTTTCGTCGTCTTTTGAGATAGCGGAATATTAAATACACCACGAGAAAGCCTGATCTTTCTTTTATCCAAAACCGGGGTTTGTCGACAAAATTATCAAACTTCAAATCAGAGAGAAGCCGTTATGGAACCGAATTTAACCTTGGGCTATCTAAATCCGGGTTTTGTCCAATTAATATCTGTCGGAGTAGGCCAAAAAACATGCCTAATAAACAAAAACTACATAGAATCCGGTAAATTGACGTTTCTCAGTATATGTGGGAAGAGAAAAACTAAACCCGTATCAATAATATAGAAATTTTTTTGTAAAACACTTACCGGTGCGTGTTGGAGCGCATTAAATCAATTTCGAGTTAATAATTTTCTTATATGATACGGACAAAACTTTAAAACTACATAGAACCTATAGGAAATTTTCCGCTCTATAGAATGGTATATAACTTTAGTACATCACATTGTTGCAGAAGGATTTAGATAGCCCAAGGTGTGTTCTTTCCAAATTGATAAAACTGTCTTTTAAATTCGGTTCCATAAAGGCTGCACACTGACTTGAAGTTTGATAATTTTGAGGTATATTCGAAACACAGACAAAACCGATTGGTTTTGGATGAAAGAAAGATCATGCTTTCTCGTGATGTATTTAATATTCCGCTATCTCTAAAGACGACGAAGATATCGGCTTGTAAAGTAGATAGAAAAACAAGGGTAATAAATAATTTGTTGCTGTCGTAACCTTTTTATAATTCTTGTGGTGAGTTCAAATAAAGAACAGTTAAAATATTGCCTTCATTTAATGTATTGGCGTTAAATTTTCGACGAGACACGTCCCCACAATTTGTAACACGTCCAATTAGTTGCTTCCTTTTTGCTTGTTCCCAGACATGCGGTGTCCGGCAGACGTGAATACGGCCCGCGGAACTAGTAATTGAACTATTTATTCAAATTGTCACCAACTCCGTACTCCCATTGTGCGTTCCATCAACACCCATTGCCAGAAATAGTAATAAGGGAGGAGAGAAAAATTCGGTTTATTAATTGAAACAATTTATAACGTCGCTCGCCGATCCATTTATTTACAAAGTAATGACATGTACATTGTGGTTTGAATTTCAATTGAGCAAAAACGCATAAATTGTAAATTACGATTGTCACGAGCGTATAAATAATACGACGTTATTGCACCAACGAAAATATCGATTTATATTATTTATACATATAAAAACGTCTGTATCACATAAATTATATTATAAAATTATTAAATTGCTCATTTTATTTTTAAAGTTAAATCTTAAACGACTAGGATTTTACAAATTCTTTACACTCTTATTTACATTATCTTACAAAAGATAAATTTCCCAAGAAAAATAGTTTTTTTAAAGCTTAATTACATTTCTTACATAATTTCCCAAAAACATAAAAAAGTATAAAAATAATCACAGCTTAATCGATGTATTTATTAACATCACGTATACTCTATATTCATTATATTCATTCTCTCTTGTTGATTTAATTTTTTTCTTCTTGCATCTTCACCTCTTCCTTGGGCAATAACTAAAGTTCGGGAACAAATAACAGTGGAGAGACAGAAACCTGCAACAAAAAGGTAAAAGCGTAAAGTCATCCTCGTAAATATCTGATGAGGGTCTAACGCGTAAACAAAAATGGAAACGTTACGCGCGCGTCATTACGCAACCGCCCCCTCTGAGCTGTCAAAATCCGAAATACCCTCATTCCATTTTTTCCGATGACATAAGCACTTCCAACGACCCGAACCTCGCATCAAACGAAACAGAAAATCCGGCGAAATGTGTCCCCGTAAAGAACCGACGGAAGGGCGAAAAATGATAGTACAAAAACATTTTTTTGTCGAGTGTATTTTATGACCGGCGAAAATATATGATTATTTCTTTTTGTTCTTTTCCCGTATTTTCTTTGCTTGCGCGATATAAAATATTCGAGATAGACCGGAATTGTATTTGATTAGGACGGGCGCAGGTACAAGTTTACAAGTTAAACAGCAGGTGTATTTGCTTCGTGAGGATCCGACCTTCAACGCAAAGAGTAGTTAAAAAAAAAAACGAACGCGTCCTCTAATTAATGCTCAAAATAATTCATTAGCGGGTTAACATAAAAGGAGATGCGAAAGCCACTTTAATGAATTTACATTCTTTCGGTGCAACGCGCCGTGGCGATTGGTCGTGATAGTTTATTACTATAATTGCCGGTCCATTATGTTCCTATCATAAAGCTTGTTATTGATCCCCGTCTGCAATTGAGTCTTAATTTTTTTTTTCCTCAATCGTTATTTCGAATGGAAATTTTAACTCGTGTAATTTAACGTGATTATTATCTAACAAGCACAGAATCATCAGGAATTAGTTTCGGTTTCCGCATTGTTTTTTTTTAGAAAGTAAGAAAATCTAAAATTAAAAAATCAAGATTAACATATTTAGATTAAATCTTGTCTGGTCAAATAGCTCAAATACTTCAAAAAATTCTAATTCATGGCAAGTTTTCTAAATATCTGTACTAATAATCCAATTTTCTCAACCTGGGTTCTACTAATCCATAAAAAGAGAAGTTTGGGGTTCCAGAAATAAATCATAGCAGTATTAATCAAAAATCATTGTAAAGTCTTATTTTAAGTTAATTACCGTATAAGAAAAGAGCTTTTATCATCAAAACTCTTATGAAGCTAGGTAGTTGAATGCATGATGGCCGAAAAGTTAGTAATAATATAAACTTTACACTTTCAATATACAGGGTGTTTCACAACATATGCGCAGGACTTCAGGATGTGATAGCTTGTCCAAAAATTTGCAAAAAAGCTTCTATCAACTTACCCTCCAAAATGCACCATTTTCGAGATACAGGGTGTTGAAATTTAATAAAAAAAAATCATTCAGTATACAGAAAACAGCGTTTGTAACTTTCTACTTATAATAAGATAAGTTTTGTGCGAGAAAATTTTTTTTTAAAGTCATAATTGGTGAAGATTTTGAAGGGGGACCGTCGATGTTTTCTACACAAAAAAGGTACTGAAGGTACCATGTATGTAAAATACTTTTTTGTAATTCGCGACGGTAATGAAAGCTATAACAGTACTCAAACGGGTGCTGTAATGAGACTCCTTACAGCATCCGATGCTGTAATGAGATTTTAGTAACATTTTATGGAACCAGTTCATGTTGGTGCCATTGGGTCATTAATTTTTCTAGTTGTCAATGTGACAATGTTTGTCTATGGATGTTTAAATACGTTCTTAGCATCGAATACAAGGTCCACAATGATGAGGACATTGAACTCTGAGCAATTTCTCTTATTTTGGGAGGTGTACATGAAACATGTTTGTCAGGTGAATACATTTTGTGTTTTGACAGTTTCTAATTGTCAATTCAAATTTCTATTTGCAAGTGTTAGGGTGTTACCAACTGCTACATACCTATTTTCCTACTTTGTCAAAATTTATTTTATTTTTGAGAAAAAAAAAAGGATAGAAACGCGAATTACAAAAAATAGCATAAAAACACGTATCATAAGACTTAAAGCACTCATTTCAACTTGAATTCGTGCATTTCAAACGTGTCTTACGAAACTTGTTTTTTAATATACTATTAAAATGGTGTTTTTTAAAACATCATATCAAGATTTGAGATATGATTATGAGTAATTAGTTGTTGACTGAAGATGGGAGGTGATCCCGAAACATCTCAAATTGCTTAATACAAAACAATTACAGAGGAAAAGTGGTCCTTTAAACCTTTCATATAACAACACCTCTAGTTTAATTTATCGTTTAATTATACAAGTTTTTACACAAACGCTGAAATGGGCGAAATGCGCTACTTTTACGATTTGGAGAATTTTGAAAAGACAACTTTTGTATCATTTTTTCATTTTTTTTATTTTGCAATTATGAAGTTAACGCTTGCTTTTGTTACTTATTCTAACGTTTACATAAATTTTGTTTAATTCTAAAATAAAATTTTTATTTCAAAAAATTGACCATGTTTTTCAACATAAAAGTTGATTTTTCTAGAAAACGGTCAACTTTAGAGCTGAGCTGCTCATGACCTACAGTACCTTTTTTGTGTAGAAAACATTGACGGTTCAAATAGGCGTCTCAAAACCGTACTTTTTCCAGTGACATAGAAGTTGGGGAGAAAAACAACCACTACTCGTTCAAAATTTTCACCAACTATGACTTTAAAAAAAAATTTTCTCGCACAAAACTTATTCGCTAAGAAAGCTACGCTGCTTTCTGTACTATAAACGGTTCCGGAGATATTCGCAAAAAAACAATTTTTTTTTATTAAATTTCAACACCCTGTATCTCGAAATTGGTGCATTTTAGAGGGTAAGTTGATAGAAACTATTTTTCAAATTTGTAGACAAGCTATCACATCCTGAAGTCCTGCGCATATATTATGAACCCCTGTATATCTTTAAATTTGAAATCTTTAATATTTGCCGCTCTTTGTGAAGAATTAGATGAATTCACCACGCTCTTGTTCCACAGTGAAGTTTTGCTTCGCCTCTAGGTTTCCAAAATGAGGTGTTAGTTTTTCTTAGTGATCCTTATTTGTATTATAAAGAAGATTAACTGATGCTGAATGGTTAAAACTTTAAAGTTATCTTACCGATATCTTTCCGAACCTTAACCAATTAATATTGCACTTCGAATATCTGCGAGAATACTTTAAATTTTATGACAAATTTGAAGATTAGTTAAAAAAGAAACATTTTTCTCAATAATTGACTGCTTCTTACACTCTATGATTTAGTGTCAGAATCAAATATTCCACTTTCAACATAATGACTTAAATATAATTAATGAAAACCTTTGATTCAGAGAATATTTTCCAACACGAGAAGAAGATCTAAGTTGACTTCCATTCTCAATCATAATCAAAAATTTACCTAATCCTAACCATAAAACAAATTTAACACTTTATTGATATGGCAACACTAATAACTATTTTTAAATCGGCTACTGTATTAAGGTTTTGGACCCAGCCGATATTGATTTAAATGTTTCATATTTTAGTGCTAAAAAGGTTCTTCAAAGAAAAATATAAACGCTCTAGTGTTCCTTGCTCTACACAATGTGAACAAATCCTACATGAACCCACATATTTAAATATATCAGCCTTTATTTTTAGCTTATATTAATCTCTTTAAAATTCCACGTTGAGTTCAAGTCAGATGATCATGATGTTTATATATGACGTCTTTGCTTCGACTTTTACGTTTTATTTTCAATTCTCCAATATGGTAAGCGTGAAGGGTTATCTAGATCATTATCTTTGTCAACAACTAATCCGAAGTATTAATATAATTCCAATCCTCCGAGATCCAGAGGTCCAGAGACATCTAGAAAATCATGCTCTATTGTGGACCACTCTTTTCCATATCTAGGAAAAGATCGAGACATAAACAAGAGAAATTTACAATATGGGTTAGCATACACTTGCATACTCATGCAAAAGAAATGAAACCAAAGGATTGCATAAAATGTGCCCGCAAATGTAGCTTGAACATCAGCGAAGACGAAAGGAAACGTATTCTTAAATATGATGATCAGAAGATTAGTTTAGAGGCGAAGTTAGCAGCATGTTACAGCAACTAATATAAAAACTCGTCATCCACCAGGATGTAAGATACCAGCTAATGCAAAGGTTTGAGTCATAAATCACATAAAATCTTTACCAATCTTCTTTACGAGGACAATTTCCAAGGATTTTTACTGGCAAGTTGAGCAGCGTAGACATAAAGTCAGTTGGTAAACTAACGTTTTCTGGTCTTGGTTTTGCCAATGTTAGTTCCCGCTGGAACAATAAAAAACGTTGGCAAGCTTTGTTTTAATGCGATATCAATCGCTGAGTCGCGGCCACAAGCAACCTCGGATTAAGTAAAATCTATCGTTCTCTGGTCTTGGTTCTTCCGAGATTCATTCCAGCTAAGACGATAGAAAACGCTAAAGCAAGCGACCTCGACTTAAATAGAATCCATCATTCTCCGTGGTTTTGCCGATATCAATTCCTGCTGGAACGGTGCAATGCGCTGATAAGCTTTGTTTTAACGTGATATCAATTACTGAACCTCGACCACAAGCAACCTCGGCTTAAATAAAATTCATCGTTTTCTGTGGTCTTTGTTTTGCCGAGACTAATTATTGCTGGAACAAATAAAGCGCTTGTAAGCATTGTTTTAACACGATATCAATTGCTGAGGTTTGGCCGCATGCAACCACGGCTTAAATAAAACTCGTCGTTCTCTGGTCTTGAATGTGCTGAGGTTGATTCCTGTTGACTGCAAGCGACCTCAGCTTAAGTAAAATCCATCATTCTCTATGATTTAGAATTTGCCGAGGTTAAATCCAGTTGCAACGACACAAAGCACTGGCAAGCTTTATTTTAACGTGATATCAATTGCTAAGCCTCAGCCGGAAGAGACTTCGGCTTAAGTAGAATCCATCACTCTCGGTGGTTTTGATTTTGCCGAGGTTAATTCCTGGTAGAATGATACAAAGCGCTGGTAAGCTTTGTTTTAACACGATATTAATTGCTGAACCTCGACCACAAGTTTAAGGATGATGGAGTAAGATTATGTTGGCTTAAGTGCGATTTTGGAAGATGCTTTAGAATTTTGAAAATATTAGCTTTGCGTGAGGTTGGATTTGAGATGGGAATCCCCATCCTAGTCTTGTGCTAATTGAAGCTTTACAAATTATTAAATAAGTTAGAAACTAATGGTGTTTTAAAAGTTTCATTTTATGATTCAATATAATTGGTTATCATTCTGATACATCTGTATTATTGTGGGATTGTTCCTATTGATCAACAGATATTATTTCAAGTTCTGATAACTATCAATATCAAATGTGGGTAAATACGATGGGATTACGATTAAGAAATGTGTAGACATATATTCTATTGAGATACCATAATTGGATAATTTGCAATTTAAAATCACACCTCATTCACTAAATTGTAAGAATGTGGTAAGTATCGATTTGTAGGTGTACGTATTTCAAGTATCATTAATTACTTATTAGTGGCTTTCATGACGATTAAGGATTATTTGCTATATAGACAATTAGCACTTAATTATTTAAGCGTTCCAGAATTAACACAAAAGCCAACCATCATTGATTTCCAACCAAAAATCTCTTATCTTATTAAAATCCTTCATTCTTAAAACGAAATATTCCACAATCGTACTTTTAGTTTTTAACTTATTAGTTTCTATCTTTTATTTAGTAATAAGCTAATAAATATACGACACAATAACTATAAATAAGATACTGATTATGCTAATTAAAGTTATTAAAGAGAATAAGTAACTAGAAATTCCTATTACAAAAGCAAAAATGAATCATCCCGGCGTTATTGCGTTCTTTATCTACCGCTTCCGTCATCACGCCGTAAAATATCACTTCCTTGGCACAACGCTGCGCCCGCGGGCTGTTGAAACGACGCGATAGTTATCTGTTGCGAAGGTAAGCAAAGAAACGACGAGGGCGAATTAATAGGGAAATTGCTCCGGTAGTAAACACGGGAAAGTCGACATCTCAACGGCAATAACGGTGAAGATGTAACGCGACAACATATCTTAACAAAACGTAACAACACCTGTGCGGCGATCAAATAAGCGTAAATTGAAAATAAGAATCTTACCTGTTTTGATCGTATTTTCTATCGAATCCTTCTATTTTTACTACGTTCCATTCGTCTTTCGTTTTTGCATAACTAAAGGAAATCTGGAAAAGATAAGAGGAAAAGAATTATCTCGGTGTAAAATCGTGTGAACTGGTGCGTTATAGGAAGGAAGTGTCTTTCTTCACACCAAATATTTAGATAAGTTAAGTAATCTGGTTAATGACCCTCCTGCTTCAATAAAAATAAACAAAGTTGTAGTTTCAAGTGGGTTTAATTACGCTTTTCTTTCTGTATAAGATGCATGTTGTTCGAAATAAATAATTTTTTTGCTGCAATAAAACTGTCCATTTCCGTAGGTGACGTGCAGTAAATATTGGATGGTCGAGTGCTTTGCAACGGGGGGCATATTGCCCCTTTAGATTTATGCGAATCTCGTTTTATTTCTTTCTTCGACTGTATATTGACTTTCCCAACAATTGCTTTTCGAATAATTAAAATAATTTAAATATAAAACACATTTCAAATAATATTTCTTAACAAAAATAAGAGGACGGATCAAAAGTTGTAGACGCGAAGTTGAATTCTGCAAAATTCCAAACAATACACAATGTACACGACGACCGGCCTTCCAACGCACCATTGTTCGCCCGGCGTTATTAAGAAAACAAAGGATAATTACTTTCTAATTCCGAAAATTGAAGTACCACCGTGTTGATGAAGAAGTTTGTTTAATCGTCTCGAAATAATAACGTGAACCGTAATATCGAAACTGTTCGCCAACATCGACAATCTTTGAATCTTTTAAAAGCAATTTGTGTTCGCAATAAGTCCTCGAATTATAACGAGGCGAAGTTGCCGCTCATTTCGAAGGACCCGCCTGCATTTAGTTAAGCTAAAAATAACTGTATTTCTGTTGTAGAAACCCGAAAAAGCTCGTTGTAAAGCTCAAACGAAAATTCCATTATGTCGTCGTAAACCTTGGCTAATGTAATCAATTACCTGGTCCTCGAGGATTTCCCTCCTAATGAACTTCATCGGCTCTAAGTGTGAATGAAACTGGTCCACCACCGTCAACGATTTTTTTAATAAATGTTCTAAAAAAAAAAATAAATGAATAAAAATTGAATCTTAATCCAAAATTACGTTTATAATCAGCAAATTTAATATAGTAAAACCTCGGTATAACGGATTAATACGGGGAAGGTAGTGTTCGTTATAACCAGAATAATTTGATGCATACAAATTCGAAGCTATACTGTTCATCATCATCATCAAGCAGCTCGCTGCGTCCATTGTTGAACATAGGCCTTGTCTGTTCTGTTCCATTCGATTCTATTCTATGCTGTCTGAATCCAATTGTTGGTCATTCTTCCTGTACTTCGTCTGTCCGCTCGCGGTCTCCATTCAAGCAATCGTTTTGTCCACAGCTCATTCATCATTCGCACAACATGATCCTCCCAGTTCCACTTGAGCTTTGCCACAATGTTGACCACATCATTTACGCGAGTTCTTCATTTCGTATGTGGTCCCTCAGGATTACACCCAGCATCGACCTTTCCATCTTTTTTTGCATTACTTTGAGTCTCCTGGCAGTGGCCACCGTTAATGTTAAAGTTTCGGAGCTGTATGTCATAATCGGAAGCACACATTGATCGAAAGTTTTTTTTTCAAATATATAGGAATATCGCTCTTCAAAATGTCTCTAAGTTTTGCGTAGGCTGTCCATGCAAGTGTGATTCTTCTGTTTAGTTCGCTTGAAACACGATTCTCTCGATACACGAACCTCATGGCTAAGATATACATAGCTGTAATATTAGAGCTGGGAACAAGATTTGTCATAAATTTTGATTTCTCCATGTTGATATTTAGTCCAACTCTTGGACACACCTCCTATACACAGTTCAGCATCAGTTTCATCTTTCCAAGGCTATCCGAAATTACTTAGGTTTTTGCCATCAAATACCTAATATATGTTTATGCCTTTTAGTTTTCTTTTATGTTTTTCATCTACTTTTAGTTCAATAAAAATATACAACAATCTAGCGCTAAAGAACAACTAAAACTAGAGCTAACACTAGAACTAACACTAGACCTACAATTAGAAACATTCGGGATTAGCCGTGCATCTCCTAAGATGGCTAAACCCGAATGTTTTTAGTTCTAGGTTTAGTGTTAGTTCTACTTTTACTTCAATAAAAATAAACAACAGTCTAACACTGAATAACAAAACCAGAACTAACACTAGACCTAAAACTACACTCAGGTGCAAAAAAAACGCAACAAGCTAATATTTGATAAAGTTTGAAATGTGATAACTTTTTTATTTTTCATTCATTTGTCATGATTTTTTCAGCAAACTGTAGATAAAAGTGTCTAATTTGATGTTCAATATCCAGCCTTTTGTTAAATGCTGGCCATTTAGTCGGTATACAGGGTTAATTAAAACGTCGTTCTAGGATCTTAATTTTAAAACACTCTGTGGAATAATTTAGTGTATAAATGGTTTCAAAATTATAATTTTTGTTAAGAACCATTCGTTCCCTACATTTTGTTTTTTTTTTTGGTTCATGTCTCTAAGTGCATTCGTTCATTTTTAAGAGCGAAATAAATTTGTCACTAACAATTTACTTAAGATACGTTATTTTTTAATAAGGTGGCTTTGCTCGTTGTTATTCTAATGACAGTTGGGCAGTGATTTTTTGTACAGAAGATTAGTACCATGGTTTTAAGTGCTGAAAATTACGCTAAAGCTGTTGCTCTTGTTGAAGATGGGCGTAATTATGAATATGGTGCAAGAATACTTCATGTTCATCGCTCCACTATTAAAAGAGTAGAACGTTTTACACAAACTGGAAGAAATAATGGAAAGGCAGGAAGTGGTAGAAAACGCAAAACCACTGCTGTTGATGACAGATTTATACGTGTTATAGCTTTGCGGAATCATCATTTAACGTCAGTACAGACGAAAAATGAGCTTCGACAGGTCCGAGGTACAAATGTGAGTGCGTGGACAATTCGCCGAAGACTAAAGGAATTTGGGTTGAAAGCTTGCAAACCAGCAGCTGGACCCAAATTGCTAGACTACAATTTACCACCGAACACTTACATTGGGATTTGAGGCAATGCAACATGTCCTCTTTACCGATGAATCCAGGTCCTGCTTACATTCTCCAGATGGGCGGAAAAGAGTGTGGAGAAGAAATGGAGAAAGGTTTGTGGAATGAACATTTAGCCCCCGTCTGAGTTATGGAGGTGGTTCAGTAATGGTGTGAGCAGAAATAAGCCGGGAAGCCTGCACTGATTTGGTCATCATCGATGGATCATGAACTGCCCACCGATATATCGAGGAAATATTGGTTAATTACGTGCAACCCTTTATTGAGTTTATAGGCGATGATTTTATCCTAATGCAGGATAACGCACGGCCTCATACAGCATGTGTGTTACACAATACCTCAATGAAGTGGGTATTAATAAAATGAACTGGCCAGCATGTTCGCCCGATCTAAATCCCATCGAGCATGTGTGGGATATGCTTGGTAGGCGGGTGAGAGACCGCGAAGTAACTCCAGCTTCTTCTTTGTACATGAACTACGAATAGTTCTTCAAGAAGAATGGCAAAACATTACACAGCAGTCCATCTGTAATGTTATCGACAGCATGAATCGACGTATGGAAGCTGTGATAAGAGCTAGAGGTCGTAACACAAAATACTAAAATAACTGTATTGTAAAAAAGTGGTACATAGCGTTACGTTTTAGGTTAGAATTGAATTATTTTGCATTAATTTCATTAATTTAATTCATTATTATTTTTTCTTTTCTTGCTGGCTTTTTTTAACTTTTTTCTTTTCATTGGTTGTCTCATAAACTGATGCTATCAAACTGTTATTAAAATAACAATGAACAAGGCCACCTTTTTAAAAAGTAACGTATCTTAAGTAAATTGTTAGTGACAAATTCATTTTGCTCTTAAAAATGAACGAATGCACTTAGAGACACGAACCAAAAAACAAAATGTAGGGAACGAATGGTTCTTAACAAAAATTATATTTTGAAACAATTTATACACTAAATTATTCCACAGGGTGTTTTAAAATTAGGATCCTAGCACGACGTTTCAATTAACCCTGTATACCGATTAAATGACCAGCATTTAACAAAAGGCTGGATATTGAACATGAAATTCGACATTTTTATATACAGTTTGCTGAAAATTTATGAAAATTGAAAGCAAAATAAAAAAGTTATCACATTTCAAACTTTACCAAATATTAGTTTGTTGCGGCTTTTTTTGCACCTGAGCCTATCGGGTTTAGCCGTGCGTCTGAAGACGCGATACACTATCACTAGAACTAATACAAGACCTAGAACTAGAATCATTCGGGTTTAGCCGTCTTGAGAGTCGTGCGGCTAAACCCGAATGTTTCTAGTTCTAGGTCTAGTATTAGTTCTTGTTTTAATTGTTATTTAGCGTTAGATTGTGGTATATTTTTATTGAACAAAAAGTAATATGTCATAATTCATAATATGATATGATAATATTTTGTAAGTTATATCCGATGGCCAATCTAATGAGGTCCGTTATATCGAGTTTTCACTGTAATGCAGTTTCTACAAATCACCAACACTTACCAATTATGTAGCCCATTGTTACGTCATCCGGCAATCGTATTTTCTCGCCTGTACTCATGAATTTACCACCACTGAAACAATATAAAAGAATTTAGTATGATAATAAATCGCGTACATAGGAGGAGTTTTTATTTTTCAAAATCGCTCGCAATGTCGAAACCGAGCAACAGCAAAAAAAACCACAATATCCACAAAGCAGGTTGTTTTTTTGCCATTCCTATATTATATATCGAGAACTTCGAGATACGTCCGGTTGTCGTTCAAAGAGATATATTAAGTACGAGATATGAAACGTCCGAAGCGACTGTGCGAGATGGTGACCGAAGATTGTTCACCGTTCGTGGTTACTAAAAATGAACAGTTTCATTTCGAAATAATAGATCCTCTGGTTTATTAAAACATTTTTTAACATTATTTTAATATATCTAAATAAAATATTGTAATGAAAATGAAAATATTAATCTTTTTATCATTTTAAGTGAAACATTATTTTCATAAAAACTCGTCATTTTTGATGAGAACGAAACGTATATATAAGATAAGTATGCGTATGTCGACGCAGGTGCTCGAGGATCTTGAAGTCTTGGGTAAAGGAATAGGGAGACAGCGATAAGAATCTAGAAGCCCCCAGCGGGGGCTACCTTCAAGTGAAAGAAACGCTTCGATCGCGGCAAGAACGGCGGACGTCATTTTTAACAACCGACATCGTCCAACGGGAAATGCGACCGCTGACATTGAGCTATTAATTTATTATTCAACGTGGTAATGACAGGCGAATTACGGCCACGCGGGCTCTTTAAGGGACCCAGCGCTCGTAAACGGTGGAAACCGGCGACGACCTCTAACCCATAAATCTTATACAGGATGAGATTTATGCAGTGCGAATCTCCCACACACAGTGGGTAGTATATTTATTTATTTAGAAGAAAAGGAAAGGTATTTACAAGGTGGTAAAGATTTGTTGGGCTATTAAAGTTTAAGAGAATTTTTTCAATCTCTATCTCTCTTCTTCTCAGAGTATTACCAAAGCAAAAGTAGTATAAGCATATCAACCTAATAAGTTTTCTATTTTCAGTTTGTGGAAATGCGTATCATGATGCAGATTTCTAATGTCACCGAACTTTTTGGTTAAGGAAAAATTAGAAATTCCCATAGAAGCGCTTACGAACTATCACGTTAATCGATCAGTGAATATTGGCTCGCGAACTAAGTTTACCACCGTTTGGATGACTTGGAGACCGCCGTCAAAGAGTGCATTACCTTTAAGGACACCTTTTTGTCCGTGAAGTCGACGTTGGCATCCAACCAAATGGGAAGGAGTGATTGAAGTAACGGACTTAATTAAGTTTTTCTTAAAGAAAATTTGCTTAAAAAAGCCGTAGTAATAAAGCACCAACTTAATAGAACTTTAAAGAAGCTACACCTAATCATATAATTCATAACTGAATTTTGTGGGAAAAGTAAACATGTTCAAAATATGCGGTTTTTGACAACTTTATCTTAATAGCTTGCGTTTATAGAGCTTGTAGATAAGATATGAACACGACAAAACTCATCTTGTTTGACTATTCTACTTTGAAGAACACTTTCGGAAGAAAGTGTAGCCAAGTTAATTAAAATCTAGGATACAGCACCAAGTTGTTTACAGCTTAGTTTCTACTAACGCATAAAGACCTGAATATAAAACAGAAACATGTCTGCACTTATCGAAAAAACGCATTTATTAATTCTTATAACAGGCCATTTCCTGAAGATGATGCATGTTTAGCATCGAAAACTGTAAAAAGTAAACTTAATCTGAAACATGTTAGGATATAGGATTATTTAGAAAGAATTATGAAATCCAACGTACTCCCAAACGTACAACCCAACCCAACACCTCTGATTTAGAAGATACAGAATTTTCAAAATTGCAGGTACAAAGCTAAAAAAATTAATTTTGAACACTCCTGTTTCTCCTAAATCAACAACATTCGCATAAAGATTTCAATTTAATTAATTCAATTTAAATCATCACATTTTGATATCAAGTATCTCCAGTGCAGAGATCAAATATGAACACACAACTGTCAAATAGTAAAAAGTATTTAGACAATTTACGGGTTAAATAACGCAAACTGTTTAGAAACTGTTCGCTTTTCAACAAAGATGCAAAGAAAAGAACGTCACGCTACCTTAAAGTAAAGTACCACATCGACTCAGCTACAGCCCGTAAAATCTTGAACAAGACAGAATAAGCCTTACTAATTGTAAGTGAAAAACTATTTCGACTACACTTTAAAATTTCGAGTTCCATATCAAGGCAAGACTGGGACAAAGTAAATATAATAACCATAAAGAGGATAAAGCGAATGTTCAAAAGAGTCATAAAACACAAATCAAGTAATTCGAGCCAATAGAACGTCGAATACAGAAAAAGAAGAAAAACTGGTTATTAACCGATCCAGAACGACAATACTAGAAAACGGATTTTTTCGGTCGCTCTAAAACGAGTGCCAAAAGAAGAAATTGTGAAGAAAATAACTGCCAAAATCCAAGTTAACATGTGTGGTGATGGACAGTAAGGATGATATAAGAATCGAATTTAGCTATTTTCCAGCACAGGAATAGAAAAGCCTGTTTGTACAAGCACCAGTAGTATCGAGGATCTATGGTTTACCAAAAATCTATAAACCAGACCCTCCCACTGTGATGTATTGTAGACGCAATTAACTCACTTACACACACGTTGAAGACTTAACACATTCTGTGCAATTAATTGGCAATATTTCCCTGAATCCACAAGATATATTAATCAACTTTGACGTGGATATTTTAACAGAATTTCTGTAGATACCAGAGAGATTGCCAACCAAAGCACGTCCCACAACTTCTAGTTAACTCCTTTGATCGGCATACTTAAACTAGAAAGACAACTTTATGAGCAATATGGAGAAGTTATTATATGCTGTTTGAAGATACGGCTTTAAAGACCACTCCTTAGAAACTAAACTGCGATAAATGGATGATACTTTTGTCATTTGAAAACAACGGCTTGAATACATTAATCACCATAACCAACAATGGATAACTAAAACAAGGAGTCAGTTTGCACCGTATTTTACAGAAAGATCTTAGTATAAAGCTCACAAAGTCCTGTTAACACAAGAATTGAAAGTAAATCTCAACATAGACAATGCAATGCATATATATTTTTTCTAACGTATTGATGTAATTCTCAACTTCATAAAAAAATCTAAGCAAAAAAAGTAATGGATATGATTATGTTCAACAACTTAGAAGGGAATATTATGAACCAGAAATCTCATTTTCAAGAATTCATGGTTTCACAGAAAATAAAATCAAAAGTTTTTGTCGTTATTCAAGGGGAGCTCTCCAGGTGAGCCGAAGTCACCCATAACTCATCCAAGAAGTTACCCATATAATTCACTAAAAAATACCCACTTCTCTTTTTACTTGAGTAACAAATTCACGCAAAGAAACAATTTTCTTACGATAATAACACGGATAATAAACCGAATTATCCATAAACAGTTTGTTGATTTTACCAAAGTGGTTATTTTATGTAGAGAGAGCATTATTTACTAATTATGAGAATCCGAATGTTTCTAATTCTCGCTCTAGTGTTAGTTCTAGTTCTACACCAGCACTATCACTAGAACTGACACAAGACCTAGAACTAGAATCATTCGGTTTTAGCCGTCTTTAGAGACGTGCGGCTAAATCCAAATGTTTCTAGTTCTCGGTCTAATATTAGTTCTAGTTTTAATTGTTGTTTCGCTTTAGATTGTGGTGTAGTGTTATTGAACGAAAAGTAGAACTAACACTAGATCTAGAACCAGAAACATCTCAGTGTTATCATAAGAACGTTACCTTTTTCCAAGCAAAACTTTTCCTTTACAAAACTACCCTATACTATTAAGCTATGTTGCATTTTATATGGGACAGTGCTAGTGCATAGTAGTTTCGTAACTATAGTTACTGCATTCCTATATTGCGAGTTATATGTGATATGAAATTCCTGCTATTAGAAAAGTGTAATATTTTGACAAATAATTGAGTATACGTGATGTTTCAATAGTACGTGATAGTTCTAAATGCGGTTTGTCACGTATAGTGTCATTAAGATTGGTCGTGTAAAATTAACTTGAAATGTGTTACCCCACTATATTCGTTCCGGGATTGAATTTCGCACGTTTTACTGTAACCGCAAGCCGCACGAGAGCGCTCATGCGATATCGCAATTACTTTAATTACCTCTGTCGAAGCCGGACGTATCATCACTTGGTAGCCTAAACCCAAAAAATTAGTAAGCTTCCTGCTGCGAAATACCGAACGCGATTACCGCATACGGGCGTGTCGGGATGAAAATAACGTTGTGCTGCGGTTGTGGCCTTTCACATTTTCCGATCGCTTGTCGAAAAAAAAAATAGGAAATCGAAAGATCGCGGCTCTAGATAACGAGAATAACGGGGCCACTTAATTACCGGGCACGACTTAGCGTCGGTTATTGTATTTCGAATAGTCGCGCACGATCCGGTCGTAGAAGCGAGCCTGGCGTTTGTCCGATGAGATTTTTTAAAATTGTTGGTTGTATCGTGTCAGGGCGGGGTAGGAAACGAATTGCGAAATGGAGGCTATTCCTTTCTCCTTAAAAACCTTGACGGTGCGCCCGCGAAGATTGATTAATGTGGGCGTTAAATCGTTCGAATCAACAGGATCACGTCTGGTCGTTAATTATTCAACCACATAGGAGCGATTCGCTCAAGTATTAATCAGGTGATGTAATCCCGAGAGTGAGATATCATTGAGTTGACCGACCACAGTTCGTTGTGGCGGTGAAAAGTCGGATCACAAAGCCCCATTTTGTTCCCTCCGACAATTTCAATCAAGATGGTGACGACGACTCGACCATTCAAAAAAAAACAAAAAAAAATTGGAAAAAAAACAATTCGCCATCCAATGCTTTTCATCCGTGCCTAAGGCCAGGGAGTTTCGATTCGCTTTTGTGTCCCTATGGCAAAAACGCAGAAGCTCTCTCTCGATAATTGGGTTAAAGCATCGCAAAATG